CATGGAATTCACCTTGCAGTTTCTGATGTTCTTTATAAAAAAAGTTCTACGCCAATGTCCGACACCGAAGCACCATTGAAGGAAACTCAAGATATTGTTGATGAAACAGATGATCACGAAGATAAAGAAAATATCGACGAGGAAATGGGATTAGGCTTTCTTCCCCCAACAAATGATGGGATAGCAAATATGGATTTACTCACCAATGAACAAAATATCAATGAACTAGTGAAAAAAGCCCGTAAGGTAGTTGTTCTTTTTAAACGATCCCCGACCAAAAAATGATGCAGTCTTGCAAAAATATGTCAAAGAAGAGAAAGGTAGCGAGCTTTCGCTCATTTTGGATTGCAAAACAAGATGGAACTCTCTTCTATCGATGCTAGAGCGTTTCCTTGCTTTAAAAGCATGTATACAGAAAGCTTTAATTGACTTAAACCACCCAGTTTCCTTAAACGAAAGTGATTTTGTGGTTCTTTCGGAAATAATAGAAGTACTTGCACCTGTCAAATTAGCAGTAGATGCGTTATGCAGACAAGATGCTAATCTATGCACTGCAGATGCAGTACTTATATTTTTATTCCAGCAGATTGCTCAAAAACAATCTCCCTTTGCTAATAAAATGTTCCAAGCTATAGAAACAAAAATGGAAAAAAGACGATGTGAAGAAATTTCTGGTGTTTTAAAATACCTTAAAAATCCAAAATTTGATGCTGTGAATGATGAAACAAATGTCTGCAAAATTTTTGGAGTTCCTCCTAAAACCCTTATTAGGAAGCAGATAAAAAAACTTATTGAGAGACTAGCTGCTTTTAAAAATGATAATTTAGAAAAATCAAGTATTGATGTTGATGAAAATATAATGGCTGTCGTTAGAAATGAAGAATCACAAGTTCGAGCCTCCCTGTCTTTAAGAGAAAAGTTACAAGAACAAATTGCACAAAGCATGAAAGCCATTGAACCAGAAACACAAACTTCAAATTTAATGTCAATCATAAAGAAAGAAATGCATCTGTTTGAAAATGGTGGAAACCGGGGGCATAATTTGGAATTAGTATACCAATATTTGTTATCTATTCCACCGACGAGCATCGAACCTGAGCGGGCATTTTCTGCAGCTGGGTATTTGGGAAGTAAAATAAGGAGTAGGCTAAATGACCAAACCTTAAATGCTCTACTATTGCTCCGGGCATATTTTCAGACAAAAAAAGAAAATTTGTAAATAAAACATGCATTTTATATGAATTGTTTTTTTGTTTTACATTTATTATTTAGCTACCATTTATTTATAAATATAAAATAAAGATTTTCTTTAATTTTTGTCTCTCAATATTAACAAACAACTTATTATGTTATTTTTTACAAAGTAGCTTGTTGCTTCAGCAGCTACATCGGTATCCAAATTTAAGAAAATTTATGTTTACAAATTTATTTTGAAATTTTGATTGTTTAGTTACTTTAGTCAAATACACTTTAAATGTTCAAATGTTATTTACATATCCAAGTCTGTAATCTTAAAACATAAGATGGAAGGTACCGTATATATATTTCTGCATTATTTTAAGATCTTTATATACACCTGCTGCCTGTTACACAATTAAAACAATTTAAAGCGCCGTAGAAAATTAATGTAAGTCATTAAAACATAATGAAATTAAATAAAGAATTGATAACATCAAAAAGTATATTCATATATGCAGTATTAAGTTCTGTTTTTTAGCAAATAACTCACATTATATAAAATCCCGGGATACCGGGATCCCGGGATTTTATTTACTTCAATCCCGAAATCCCGGGATCGTAATTCATGCCCGGGATTGCAATCCCTACTCCCGACAGTCTTGGATTGGAACTAAGAAAAAAAATTATTGGCGATTATGTAAGTGGAATGAAAAAGACCGCTTTCCACCACTTCTAGAAGGGTTCTATGATCGTCAGATCCGTCAAGAAGGATCCCTGGATATCATCAGTCGAGATGCAAAAGCAATTAGAGCTGCCTGTATTGGACTGAACAATTAGACGACGTGCTGTTGAAGTCTGATTGTTTTCTCGAAGCCTTGCAAAAAACCGCTGATTTCACTAAAGAACCAGAAGAAAAAACTCTTGTTTGCTACATCTCATATTGACTGGAATGTGTAGAAATAGCGAACTGTCCTGTTTAGTGATGAATCAAAGTTCAACATCATTGGGAGCGATGGCATTTGCCGTGTACGTTGACTGGCCGGAAAGACCGTGAAGCATATGTGGAGTCAATGTAATGATCTGGGGGTGTTTTTCTGCTAACTGTCCAACACATCGAATCGATGGAATAAAGGACTGTTTCATGTATAAAAATATCCTGAAAGATGTTATGTTACCTCATGCTGAATGGAGTATGCCAATAAAATGGGTTTTTCAGCAAGACAACGATTCGAAACACACTGCAAAAGTAGTCAAGCAGTGGTTTCAAGACAACCACCTATCGGTGATGGATTGGCTGCCTCAATCTCCGGATCTCAACCCTATTGAGAACCTGTGGGAGATCGTCAACCGCAGAATTAATTGTGAAGGTGTTAAATCATGATCAGTAGCGTACAACATAGAGTACTTTTTAATTTTAACGTCAAAACATGAAGCCGGGTGAATAAAAAAAAGCAATTGCTTTTACTCAGCGTTATTTGAGTTCAGCTCTACATGAATAAATATTTTTTGGCTCATATTTTATTCACGTAAAGCAATTTACTCCAAAAACGCTGACTAATTGTATAGCTTTACGCGAAAGTTTGAACAAAAATTTTATGATTTTTATTCACGTAAAGCTGACCAATTACTGAGTAAAAGCAATTGCATTTTTTTTTTATACGGCCTATGGCTTATAACTTGATTGAAATTTTTTAAACAACGAAATACATAATAATAATAATTGAAAATATTTTGAAATGATTTTAAAATGTTTTTTTTAATTAAAAATATAGTTGCAGTGTTTTACCAATTCGATTTATTAGCCCAATACTTCCGCCTTGATTTCTTTAATTTGCGCAGCAGACGTAGTTAAGTCTCGTACAAAATTACTTTTATTTAACTGAGTAAGCTAAAATCCTGCGTCCGTTCCAAGTAGCCGCCCAACTAAGGGATCATACATAAAGAACGTATGCTCCAAGAGGAAGCGGGGTCTGCAAATGGCGTTTATGAGATGGGGGGCAGTAGGTCAATTATAAAAGTATGGAAACACTAAATTAAAAAATATATATTATAAATGTTGGGTTGGTAGGTTAAATCATAGTTACTTTTAGGGAGGGAGAGGGTACTTAAAAAAACGTATAAAATGCGGGGGAGGGGGACAAAACACGGACGTACTTTATGGGTGACCCCTAATGCAAAATGCTATGAGCCCAATTGCATATTTAATATCGTTTCATGTTGTTAACGCAATAGTACAGACATCTCAAAATTTTATAAAACACAATATTAGTAATGCCGCAATTTTTTTTTTACATTATTTATTTAAGACATTTTACACAGACTGTGTAAATTAAATCAAAAAATAGTTGTTCTACAGGGCAATGAAAAACTATGGGTAAACCTAGGTAAAAAATAAAAATCTTTAACAAATACAATGTAAATTTAGGAAAAGCTATAATTTAGCGCTTTAAAATAATTTTATTTTTTTTGCCTGTTGCGCTCTCGTTAGTGGAGAGTTTTTAAACATTAGAAATTTTAATTGAAATAAAATAATAAAAAAGAGAATGTAGAGAAAAGAAAGAACGGTAGAGAGTTAGTTATGAAAATCATAGGTCCTGGTGATGAAAAACTTTAAACTGGTGATAAAAATGTGAGTGCTAGAATAACTCCTAAAATAAAACCTGATGCAACAACTCTTATACAGCTAATCCACTGGAATAAACTTATGAGTTGATTCTTACTTGTGATCTGACAACAGAAGAAGTAAAACAGATAATATTTTAGCCTATGATTGTTTCAAATTGGCCTTGTGACGGACAGTCAATTGAAAGACGAGTTAAACAGGTAACAGAAGCAGCAAGCAAAGTTTATTCTCAAGAAAAAAGTTACCATTTTAGAAGAGGGCAGGACTTATCGAGCAAATTTTAAAAAACGAGGACCGTTTTTTTTTTAGTCGGCAAAAGTTGTAATAGCATCCCCCCCCCCTCACGTGACACCTACTCGCGCTGGCCATGTGCGTGTATATATATATATATATATATATATATATATATATATATATATATTATATATATATATATATATATATATATATATATATATATATATATATATATATATATATATATATATACATACGCACATATTTATATATATATATATATATATATATATATATATATATATATATATATATATATATAAATATATATATATATATATATATATATATATATATATATATATATATATATATATGTATATATATATATATATATATATATATATATATATATATATATATATATATATATATATATATATATATATATATATATATATATATATATATATATATATATATATATATATATATATATACAAATAGATATGTAACCACTATGCTGTAGTTCAGGCTTTCACTTTCAGTCTTGAAGGAAATAAACTACTTAAATATAAATCTCATTCCGGAATTTTTTCAACAATTCCGACAAATTCGATTTCGGCCATTATTCAAAATTTCCAATCCGGTACACCCCTATAAAATACAGATTTGTAAATTTTTATTTGTAAACGTTTTGTATTGTTTTTTACTAAAATAATGTGTATGGTTATTTTAGCAAATGTGTTATAAATTTATTTAAAAGATCAGTTAAACAAAACTGAGCATTATCAAATTGATCTAAAAAATTTTTTAAATTAAATACTAATTTTTTAAACTAAAATTATTAAGCTCTCGATTAATTTTTAACTTGCACTTTTAAAAAATTTCAGCAAAAATGAAATGTTTTTTCATAGAATCACTTACAATTAATCATTACAAACAATGTTTGAATACCTACCATTGTTTTTCCAAATGAGTTAATTCTTTAAAATTGTCTGAATCGATAACAACAAACCCATTTTTTAAAATTGCAATAAAAGATCTGTTTTTCAAAACATTGAAAAATGAATTGTTTTCATTCTGGGCACACTGTGCGCGACAACTTGGATTTATTTATTAAAAAGAAAAAAATCTAGGAGTTCCGAGGATTGTATGATAGCAATAATTAATTTGATAGCAATAAAAAAAAATATTTTTTTTTAGCTATGAACAGTAGATGTATGATATTTGAAAGTATATATAAGATTTTAAAACTGTATTTTGTGCTGCTTTAAAAAATTACTTATTTAAAAGTATGTTCGGTATGATATTTTATGACTTGAAATCAAACCAAGATTTTATACAAAGTTTTCTGGTTTAAAGTTTTTGCATTATTGAGCATGTTTTAAGCTTGTTCTCCATTCAGAACTATTTGCGCTTTGGAGGAACGGAGGAGTTCTTTGAGCATGCGCAAAAAATTCTGATTGGAGAACGGGTTTAAAAAAACTGTTTGCGCATGCTCAAAGAACTTTTCCGCTCAAAAGGTTCTGAATGGAGAACGGGCTTTATACCATAAAGTCAGATGACGTAGCGCTTTAAAAGCTACCATGACGTAGCGCTTTAAAAAAACATTGTATTACGCATGCACTGTTTACTCAATGCATATGGTTAAACTGAGCATGCGTAATACAATTTTTTTAAAGCGCGCAGTAAATACAATAATTTTAAAAATACGCTTTTTACGCAGTATTTTGTTTCAATATTAATATTATTTCAATTTTTTATGCTTGATTTCTGGTTACGGAAACTTGGTGGCGTGAATCATCGATAACCAACATTTAAAACTATATGTTATTCAGAGAAGATTGCGTGTCCAGCAGAGGAGGTAAGGTGGCTATTTATGTTGACACTTCATTAAAACCTAATGAAGTAAGCGAAATTGTTTTATTAGATTCCCCTGAACAAATTTGGTGCGAAATATCGTATGGTTCCAAACACATCCTTCTGGGTTACATATACAGGCCACAAATACTAGATCCACTTGAGAATATTGAAGCGTCCATTATTAAAGCAAATAAACTTCTGTCTATTATATACAGCGGCTTGTTGATTTGTGGAGACTTTAGTTTGCCAGGGATTAACTGGGGTTCGAGCACTATCCAAACTGTCAGCAACACAGATACCTTTTAAAGTGATTTTATTAAAATCAACAACGAGTCGTTTTTGATACAATTTGTTACTAAGCCCATTTTTTAACTTGATAAAACCACAGCGAACATCATTCTTGATCTAATTGTAGCCGAAAATGAAAATCGGGTCCTCGATATTATTCTCCATGCATCTTTAACGTCTCTGAAGAAATCTCACCACGTCCTTTAATGGGATTACGTTGTTAAAAGCACTGCAGTTGTAGGTAAACACATTGAAAAACGCATTTATCATAAAAGTAACTTTGTAATCCAAATATTTTAACAATATTGACTGGCAGATGGGGTTCAATGGACGCAATACTGATGACTTTTATAACATTTTTCTGAACCACTACGAGGCTGCATGCAAAACTTATGTCCCAGTGACTAACTCAAAACGTATTTGTCGAAGAAGCAAATGGATGAATGATGACATCAAGAATAAAATAAAAGCTAAAAATAAACTATGGTTTTGATGTAGAGCGATTGGATATAAAATTCTTATACTAGTCAACAAATACAAAGCGTGTAATATTCAATTGAAGAAGCTTATATATCAAGCTCGTTGTGAGTTTGAACTTGATTTAGCGATAAAATACTTGAACAGAATCTTTGGGTTGTGAAGCACAACCCAAAGATCCTGTTCAAGTATGTTAATAGCAAACAAATAGTTAGAACTACAATAACCGCCTTAAAAGGAATCAATGGTGACACTAGCACAGATCCAATAGAAATTGTAAATCGGTTGAACAACCACTTTCAAAGTGTTTCCAACAAAAATGAAGACGATGAACTGCCATATTTTTTAAAACGAACTGAAGCCATTTGCAAATACTCACAAATAACACAAGATATGGTTAAAAACAGGCTGAGGGATTTATCAGTTGATCAATCATTGGTGTGGATGGTGTAAGCGCATATATACTGAAGAATTGTTCGGACGGCTTCTCAATACCTTTAAGCACAATTTTTCAGAAGTCGCTAGATAGTGGGTGTTGTCCTGATGTATGGAAAAAGACTAATGTAACACCAATGTTTAAAAAAGGAAGTAGACTCGACCCAGGCAATTACCGGCCTATATCTTTAACATCAATTGTATTTAAAGAGATGGAGAAAATGTTATGTGACACTCAGGTCAATCACTTAGTCGAACATAGCCTTATTTCAAAAAATCAACATGGTTTTGTCAATAAAAAAGCTTGTGTGACTAATTTATTGGAGTCGATTGACATGATGTCAAAAGCATTATCTGACAAGATATCTATGAACGTAGCTTTTATAGATTTCTATATATAGTATAAATATATTATAATATTATATATTATAATATTTTTTATACATTATTTTAAGAAAACCTAATCAAATAATAATAATAAAAAAGTTAACTTTATTTGTTAAGTTTTAACAATTCCCTATGAAGTTTTAAAATCTCAAAGCAAATCAAATTTAACGCCTACCCTCTAAGAAGGAAAAAAAATCAAGATTTATAACTACAATCTAGTGTCTCTCACCAATACCGTGCAAGGTGACGAAGAGAATTATTAAGAGAATTATTATTAAATTTTTATTATAAGATAGGATTATAAAATACTAAGCACAATCTAATATCAAAGTCTCAACATGGATTTGTATATCACAAAAACTGTTTTCAGATCAGATCTTGTAAACAGAGAACCGCTGTTGGAGAAATTAGAAGCTTGTTTAAAAAGTTTCAAAACTTTGATGCGTTTAGAATTTTTTTATCAAAATCAGCATATAATAAAAAAAAATACCAATTTAAAACCCAAACTAATAAAAGATTATTCAGAACGACAACACTTTTTTAAAAAACGTGCTTTAAACCGTGGAAATAAATTAGCACAGGATGTGATTGATGCACTTACAGTAAACTCTTTTAAAAGTATTTTTATGATGTCAGCATATGAAAGCCTGGTGTAACTTTCCTTCATCAAGACTAAACTTTTGATGTATAAATTTCATTGAATATTATAATAAATAAATAAAGATCTTTTTGTTATCAGCTGGAGTACCGCCAGATGCAAGATGTTGCTTCAGAAGCTTCTCGGACACTAGACTTTCAGTTCAGATTGCAGGTATAAGACTAATTACAAAACGGCCATGGAAAATTACTAAAGCCGTTACTTTAGCTGCAACCAAAATATCGACCCATGATGAGCAGATGAATGGTCTTAGCAATCAAATATTTTCCATGATTTCCCTGAATATAAGTTTGAAGTGAATACCATTAACGTTACGATTTATCATGCATTTAATAAACTCAATTTAAAACTGGGATTGTGAAAAATGTTTTTCATTTATCTGGTTGAATCTCATTCATCTGGTTGCAAGATCAAGAACCTGTAAAAAAAAACAAAAAAAACTGTGAGTTAGAAGACAACTTTATGGAAGATATTTGTATCTAAATACTTTGAAAGAGTCTTCGTTTTTCAATTCTGGAAACACATTGCCTTTCTCAACCAGTTATACTCAAAGGGTCTATAGTTATTCTCCAATCTATATGCATTCTAGTTTGAATTTTTAAAGCAATGTCAGTACTTGTTGCAGGAAGTGAACAACCTTTAAGTAAACTAAAAATGATTTAAAACAATGATTGTAGGGCCACTTTAAAACAAGAGTGTCTATCAGTGAAGTGTCTATCACTCTAAAACAAGAGTGTCTAGCTTGAAAATGAATTGAATACAACTCGGTTGTAAGATGACACAATAATAATTTTTGTTTATAAGAAAAGTAAAAAAAAAGTGTCTTCAGTATTAATTTCAAAGAAATTAATACTTGTTTGTTAATCCAGTGAATATGTTGCATAAGTCTTATTTAATCCAGATTAGATCCAGATTTTCTCGAAATTATGGAAATAAAAAGTTAGAAATAAAAATGCAGTCATTAACTTATGTAAATGTACATGCTGTTAATTTAAAAGTATGCTTGCTTATAGGGACGCCTAATTACTACTATGATCCAGGCGTTAAAAAAGTTCTCGGCGGCTCTGCGTGTCGATAGCTGCTGATATTGTATATAATCAAAATAATCAAGTACCTAGTTTGAAGAATTTTTAAAATAAAACTTAAAGATAAAATATTACTAATGAAGACTACCGAAAAAAAAGTAGCTGAAGCAGAGAAGAGTTCTTTTTCAACCGAACTTCTTCTTGATGGATGGGAAACTGCTTCTGGACATAGCTGGTGCAAAAGAAACCGTCGATTGAATTGCTGTGATCTTTACTGGGAATGGTATTGAGCGATGTTGGCAGTAATTGTAAAGAAAATTGTAAGAGGAACTGGGGAAGAACAGGCTGCTGCATGTTTAAAAGTACTAGATGACTGGAATCTACGAGAAAAAGTTTAATATCTGGTATTTGATACAACTTCCTCCAACACAAGCATCCATCGAGGGGCATGCGTTCTTATTGGCCATGAACTTGTAAACATTGGATGCCGTTATCATGTTCTGGAAGTTGTTCTGAGCAGTGTCTTCACAGCTGTTTTTGATGGAACGGATGGACCAGAAATTAGTCTTTTTAAAAGGTTTCAGAAGAAATGACCGTACTTCAGGCAAACAGAGTGTTTGCCAGCAAGAGACAAAATCTTTAATGAGGATACCGAAACTCTTTGGACGGAGATGGTTGTCTACTACACCGAAGCCGTAGAATATCAACAGCCTCGGGAGGATTACCTCGAGTTCCTTCGGCTATGTCTTATCTTCCTCTGTGGAAGCAGTTTTAAGATGGACTTCCAGTTCCGCACTCCTTGAACAATACATCATGCTTGATGGATGTCGAAGGCCATCTATTCTCTAAAAAAGGTGCTATTTTAAGGCCATTTGGAATTGACTGCTAAAGAAAAGGGAGGTCTGAAGGAGCTGGCACTCTTCATTTTTCTTATTTATGGACGTTTCTG